GTTAGAGCTCGACAACTGTGTCTCTGTAGCTCAGTTGGTTAGAGCTCGACAACTGTGTCTCTGTAGCTCAGTTGGTTAGAGCTCGACAACTGTGTCTCTGTAGCTCAGTTGGTTAGAGCACGACAACTGTCTCTCTGTAGCTCAGTTGGTTAGAGCTCGACAACTGTGTCTCTGTAGCTCAGTTGGTTAGAACACGACAACTGTCTCTCTGTAGCTCAGTTGGTTAGAGCTTGACAACTGTGTCTCTGTAGCTCAGTTGGTTAGAACACGACAATTGTGTCTCTGTAGCTCAGTTGGTTAGAGCTCGACAACTGTGTCTCTGTAGCTCAGTTGGTTAGAACACGACAACTGTCTCTCTGTAGCTCAGTTGGTTAGAGCTTGACAACTGGTCTCTGTAGCTCAGTTGGTTAGAGCTTGACAACTGGACTCTGTAGCTCAGTTGGTTAGAGCACGACAACTGTCTCTCTGTAGCTCAGTTGGTTAGAGCTCGACAACTGTCTCTCTGTAGCTCAGTTGGTTAGAGCACTGCACCGGAATCGCAGGTTCGATTCCTGTCAGGGACGTGTAGTTGCATTTTTCGCAGTTGTTTCTGGTTATGTCTAATAAATGTGTATAAATTTCCACTCCATAATCCCCCTCTACAACACCCTTCAACCCATACCAGCATGGCAGTATACCTGTCCTGTAACAGGCCATCAACCTGCAGTTTAATATCAGAGTTGGAAATCATGTCAATTATTTTCATTATATGTAGTGGTCTTGCATTTGGAGGCAAATAAATAGTTTAATTTTCGTACTCGTATAAAGTGTCAACATTTCTAAAGTGGATCACCATCTGAAAAATACAAGAAGAATTTCGACGTTTCGAGCGAAGGCCCTTCGTCTCCTTGTATTTCTCAGTGGGGACCAACGAAAGCTTGTTATTATTTGCACTGCCTACACTGTCACAGACAGTTCAAGATCTGCTGTGTTTCAGTTAACTTGCGTCACAACCCAACAAGCTTTTTAGTGATTTACTGTAATTGTTTTATTCTTCAATTCTAGAACATCCCTAGTTCAAGGATTGTCTCAACTTGATCGAGCATCCGCTATGTTGCAGCATTGTGCCTCATGTGTTGTTCAAAGTAACACAATGTCACATTGAAAGGTAGGAATGGTCTTTCTTTCGTCGTCGGTAACAATAAATATAGAAGATATTCCTGCACTCAATTTAAAAGGATTTGAGGTAAATGATAAGAGGTTCTTTGAATGTCTCCTCCACAGGCATCTTGTACTACAGGGCTTGCTTGGTTTGCAATTTGCCCGCAACTAAATTCTACCCGCCACTCTAAAGGCGATGCCTGCGGAGAGGCTATAAATGTCTGTTATCAGCATAAATTGAAGCCTAAATATTTGAGAGTGACAAACTTCTTCGCCCATTTCAATGTTGCTTTGTGCTGTAGCATTGTTTAATTCAAATATCGTACATTCAAATATCGTACAATGAGACAGTTTACGTTCTAGTGTCACGTTATTTCGTTTAGAAAGATAATAGCCTTTCAACATTGAAATGGGGAAAGGATGACTGTAGTGTCAGCTGTTATTAAGATATTTTGTCAGTTCCAAATTGCTGTTTCATCGCCTGTTACCTGTCAGTTTGGATTTTTTCAGTTGCCAATGAAAACTGCAGGTACATGTCACCAGTCAGTTGATAGTGTGAACCAGCTTGTCAAAACTTTGATAAGTACTTTTGGTAAAGGGGTTTTTTTCTTAAAAATGCGTTGAACTAATCCTTTGGACAAGGGTTTACACTTTACACTATCACATTACCTCATTATGGTGTAAAACACTTTGATAGTACAAACATGGATAATAAAATAAATGGATAGGAAACTAGCTGACGTGACCTAATGTTTTTACTGGGATTGATTGCGTGGTTGGATGCCTCAACCTAGTTGAAAATCAAATTCTCAAAAACGGCATGTTTAGCAATAATACAGCTAAACATTTTAGTCAAAGAGCAAATAAATGTAACCACGCCATTCTACGATGAAAACTCTAAGTATTCCCAGTCAATTTTAGCAAATATTTCAAGCACCAAACAGTGAAAAATACATCGCAAATTTCGTTAAAATTTGTGACGCCAATTTCGTAGCTACAAATGTAAAAAAATACAAAACAAAGACGAAAAACATTTACCTTGAATACTTTGTCGTGGCTTAGGCATGTTTTTAAAACAATTAGACCAGTTTACGCTTCAAGATCACCCTTTTAAAGTGGAAAATATAGCAAAACAACAAATATGCCGAGAACTTTGGTAACATTCGTAATACGCGTGACGTCACGTTTTTCAACAAGGATGCAGTCAATGACGTCAGAAGTTTCCAATCCATTTATTTTATTATCCATGGTACAAACAACTAACGGTCAAGTATAGGTTCATGGCTACAATCATGGAAATGATATCCGCAGACGTTTTAAAACGTATCTTGTCTTCACTATTTTGTAAAGTCATTTTGTTTTAGCTAAAACAAACGTCCGTGATTGCTATAGAAATAGTACCC